AAAATGAAAAGTTGTATCTATTAATGTAATTTAACCGACCCAAGCTAACATGAACTAACAATGAACAGTTGAATTTCTTATTAACTAATGTTAACAAAGATTAATAAATACTGTAACAAATACATTGCTCATGTTCGTTTATGCATTAAATATAGTTAACAAATGGAACCTCATTGTAAAATGCTACCAAAAAATTGACCCCAAAATGTCATATTGTCCCACGAATGACCCCTAATGAAGGTGTTTATGAATATTTCTCCTTGTGCTAAAACAAGTCATAGGAATTCAGCCTAGCATTTATTTATAGACTGACACTTTGCATTTATCCCATGTGTGTGTTCATGTGAGGTTCTCTAAATATGTACCATCTGTGTAAATACACGTGTATATGCATTCATTGCACACAAGCCCAAAATGTTTGCCTGTTTATAAAGAGTGTCCTTAGGGACTGGAAAACATGAAACTTAACCTTTATGTTGCTCTCGCTCTCTTGCAAACGTGTGGTCCAATACGCACTGTACTTAGTTTCATAGTAACAGAAATAAACATGGACATGCATCTCCATAAAAAAGCAGAATGAAAAGAGATGAGAGCCATTCAGACTCATTGTACCTCATTTATATATATATGAGGCGTGATTTCATGACAATTGCCAGTAAGGATGAGCATTCAGTCGGGTTATGATACAATTAATCATACTGAATATTACTGCTTATGAAACCAAAGACTTTGGCTTTGAACTGTTGTATGTGGTTTTCAAGTTGAAAAACAATCTTTGAAACAACCAATAATGCAGTCTAGGAAAATGCATGGTTGACTTGATGCCTTAAATCATGCAGCTTGTTGACAAGATTACTTTTCTAAGTGACCAGACTTAAAACAGGAGAGAAAAAAAAAATACCAGAGATTTACATTTAAGAAGGGATCTGTGTGACTTTGGAATGGGTTGTTTTGACATGGTCCCGTAAGAAACCACCAAGCAATAATCTTGCAATTACATAGAAACACACCAACAGCCATTCAGAACACCTCAGCAACCGCATACGTTCAATCTGAAGTAAACAAACATGAACACATTTAATAAAGTCCATGTAGTTCAGCTGGATGAAGGCAGATTTAGATTAGCTGTTCTTTAAGAAAGATGTTGAATTAATTCTACGATTCTCTGATTAATAGAAAGTTAAAAATAAATAAATTAAAATCTGCTGAAAATATCCTCACCCTCAGGCCATCCAAGATGTAGATGAGTTTGTTTCTTCATGGGAACAGATGTGGAGAAATGTAGCATTGCATCAGTGTCTCAGCAATGGATGCTCTGCAGTGAATGGGTGCCGTCAGAATGAGAGTCCAAACAGCTAATAAAAACAACACAATAATCCACAAGTAATCCACACCACTCCAGTCCATCAGTTAACATCTGGAGAAGACAAAAGTTACGCGTTTGTAAGAAAACGCATTTGCTTCTGGCCAAAATATGAGTCCACAATCCATAATAACGCTTCCTCAGTGGAAAAAGTCTGTATCTCCTGTTGATCTCTCACATCGGTTTTGGCTTGTAAACTGAAGTGCTTGATCTGTGCAGATTTCTCTCCAGATTCAGACTAGACATATTTTTAATGGGAGAAAGCAGCATTATTGATAAAAGACTATAGATTATTGATTTTAGCAGAAAGAAATTGTTTAAAGTTAAAGTTGATGGATTTGATTCTTAACTGATGGACTGGAGTGCTGTGGATTACTTGTGGATTATTGTGTTGTTTTTATCAGCTGTTTGGACTCTCATTCTGACGGCACCCATTCACTGCAGAGCATCCATTGCTGAGACACTGATGCAATGCTACATTTCTCCAGATCTGATGAAGAAACAAACTCATCCACATCTTGGAAATTGTCATTTTTGGCTGAGCTATTCCTTTAATTTCTTTCAAAATAAAATCATAAAATAAAATAAAATACTAACCCTAAACTTTTCAATGGTAGTATATATTGTATATCCAGGTTGTATATTCAAGTTGAACTTATAGCTTGTATGAAATAAATTTTATAACATGTTTATAACATGTATTTTATAAATAGCAAGGATTGTCTCACAAATAAATGACTTCTTTTGACAGTTATTCAAAACGCCTTAGCAACCGTAATCATGAAATCTAAAGCAAACAAACATCTTTTTAATAAAGTCCATGTAGTACAGCTGAAAGAAGGCAGTCTTAACTCAGCTGTCCATTAAGAAAGAAGTTGTTTCTTAGCACTTCATTGACCGAAGCCTCATTCTCGCTCCCTAAGTGTGTGAAAAGCATTAGCGATTAACTCTTGGATTTGGTTTATTTAGAAGATGAATTCTTTCCCTGGGACCCAATGCCTTCTCCCCCAGCTTCTGCCTGACATCTCCATAAAGCAAAGCACCGAGTGAAACGACCTGAGATAAAGTAACAGTAACATCCTTCAACTCGCCACATTTGTGGATTTACAGCTGGCTGGGGGAGATTCGGGCCTCCCTGACAGCCCAACAGTAAAAGCGCTCCCATTCCCGAGCACCTGCCTCCCACACACACACACACACACACACACACACCTGATAGATGGTGCGCAGAAACAGGTGGAAAGAGCCGCTCTGTCGAAAATCATTTCAAGACACACCCTGAAACCCACCGCACACTTCGAGGAAAGCCAACACAAACATTAAGCCTGAATCGTCTCCTGTGATGTCCTGTTTTCAGTTCACAAAGAGATGGATGGGATAAACACACTCAACATTTTCCCCGATGCTCCCAGCGCCTTTGATATTCGAACACATTTTGTGAACTTTGACTCTTCGAGTCTAAAACCTCCACAAGACCTATGGCTTTCTTATGGCTTGCGCAGATAAATTGCAGAAATCTTAAAACTGATGTCAGTTGAATGGATCTCTGGAGAAGAGCGCATGAGTAATGTCCTGACAAAGACGGCAGCCTCCCCTATGACAAGGATCATTGTTGGATCCATTTTCAATTCGCGCAATGTGCAAAATAAATCAAATGCTGAGGGACACTTAAAAAGCGCAGCCATGGCAACCTTACAGGAAGTTCAAACAGATCTGTGGTTTCCTGTGGTGTCAAATAAGGCATGTCCACACCTGACAGAGGAAGAGTCATCTTGAAGGGTCTGTCAGACATGAACCGAAGCGCGGTTATGCCACATCGCAAGGCTTCAGTCTTCACAGTTTCCCACACTTGCTCTCAGTTTCTTTTCACGGTCGGGTAAAGAAAATGCGCACAGGATGCAGTTGGTTTTCCTCAAACCGGACCACTGGCAGTGGCACAAATAGCCATTAATAACGGCAGAGGAAGCCCAGAAAAATCACATTGAAAAACAAGCTAAGCGAGTGCCTCCAATTTGATGTTAAAATATTTACTTTCAGCCACCTGTGGGAGGTCTCTGTTTCTCGTCTTCGCTAAATTAAACCGCTGCTAACTGCGTTACAGCTGCAGTCCCGGGATGCAGAAGTGTTCTGGTAATTGTTTCTGTCTTCTGCACAGATGAAGGGCCACGTCGCACATTAGACAGGCCTGAAGAATTAGAGCCTGAACGTTCAAATGGTTTGGTTAGTAATTTCAGAATTGTAATAGAGGTATACGATAGTGCCAAGAGGTTTGAGTGTCGAGGCTTGTTGATATTTCGACTGGAAACAGGTCCTGAGACGGGGAACAGGCCACCAAGGGCCCACAAAGGGCCACTATGGTATACAATATTAGTCCGGCGTGATGGAGGCGGGAATCTGTGATTTCAAGAAACAGCCATTTGTGATTATTTGTTTTGTGCATCTGGATTAATTCTAATCAAATGAGCTTATACATTAGATAGCTAGCTAGATGATAGATAGATAGATAGATAGATAGATAGATAGATAGATAGATAGACAGATAGATGATAGATGATAGATGATAGATAGACAGACAGAAAGACAGACAGAACAGATATATGATAGATAGATAGATAGATAGATAGATAGATAGATATAGTGCTAAACAGGTACAGCAAAGCATTCACATATATTTCTACTTTGGAATACTGTTTATTTGGCATCAGTATTGTTATTTTTATGGCATGTAGAGATCAGAATTAGATTAGAAATCAGATTAGAATTGAGGTGTCGCTGACCTCTAGTGTTGAGATGGATTAACTGATTGTGTAGTGAACACAAACTCATGTTCAGGTCTACTTTAAAGCATCAAAAAACCATATACAGTAAAATAAAAAATAGAAAAAATAGATTTTTTTTTTCAACTGAAGAGAGCAAGGATTTGTAAAACTATTTCATAAAGATTTAAAAATACTAAAAAGATGCAAGTGAGGAGCAGATCATCCTCCATTTCAGATGCAGAAGGGATTGTTAACACCAGAAAATTATTTTAATGCCAAACCTAGTCCCTCCCCAACCCTAACCCCCAAAAGTTTAATATAGGACTATTATTCAACGTTATTTATAAAATATGAAATAGGTGGTTTGCAAAGTGTCCATTTTTCTAAATGTATGCAATTTACCTAATAGATTAAATCAAACTTTATTTATTTATTTATTTATTTTTTCTTTTATTTTTCTTTCTTTCTTTAGTTATTTTTTATTTTTTTGTATTGAACATATAGGCCTATATAAAGGTAAATACACACATTTACAGACCAAAACAGATAACAACAAGATATATAATACAAAAAATATACAAAGAACCAGAAAAAAAGCCAGGGGTAAAATAAATGACTAAATAAATCTGCAATATATATTTCTCTATAACACGCATCCAACGTGCCAGCTGTTTGGCAAAGTTCAAATGTCAACTGATTCGTTTAAATGTTTTTAGAGTGATTTACTGTAACTGCCAATCTAGATAAATTGCAAACGCAAGAGCTTCGAACGAAAATCTGCCACAGAAACATAACACACAAGCAACTTTGTGATTTTATTGCGTACACTTCCTCATAAACAAGCGCTCGAGTTGAAACGCCGAAAGTGCGGCCGCTGAAATCTCCGTCGCGTTTCCATCCCGGGGCGATGACGTAGCTGCGAACAGTCAACAGACGCGCGGTCGGTCCGGACCGGAGCTACACCGGGGTCAAGATTTTTCTCTTTTTCCCGCTGCCTGTGCGTTTTGGCGATCTGTTTAACGTCGTTCACACTAGGCGGCCGGAATAGAGTGTTTACACGCAGCAGACGAGGCCGTTTGTGGCGGTTTTTGTGCCTGGGAGAGCGCTCCGGAGTGTGACGCCTGTTTTTATTTGTGTTCACTGCGACACGGAAAGTGACAGAGCAGGATTCCTCGTCTTGACAGCTTAAAAACACTTCTGGAGCCTTAAACATGCTGTTGCACTTTACTTCATTGGCTTAAAGAGTCAGTTTTAGTACTTTAGTCGTCTTGCTGTAGGAGAGCAGGCCGGTGGAGAAAGCTTCATCAACATCATCATCATCATAATCTTCATCATCCCACGCCTGGTGTTTATAGTCTAATGTTTCAGATTTAAATACATCTGTCAGTGCTTAACTTATTCTTGAACACGATGAGAGGAAAGCAACATTATTAATGGTGGACAGGGACCTTAAGAACACAGTGTTGTCTACATGATGTGAGATACTCTCTTTTAATGCGGATTAAACTGATTCAGATTGACTTTGAAAGATGTTGTAGGTGTTTACAACTTTGTTAGGATTGCTAAAGAAAGTAATCAAGACATAGGATAGAGTTAAACGCCTTGTGCAACCCTTTAAATCAATACTAGCGACCGTATGAATTAAGTGAGGTGCATAAATAAGAGAAAGATAAGGACCACTGTTTACAGTTATGATGTGAGCTTTTAGTATGCGATGCACTTATTAAAGAAATATTGAACTGGGTTTGAGAGGATTGAACTGTTTTGTAGGTGATTGAGGGAACTTCTGTTGGTTTTGACAGACAGCAGCGTGAGCTCCAGCTCCCTGGAAATGAGAAAATGAATTGCGAGGAACAAGCTGTAGATTTGTGCAATGCTATAGATTTGTGCAATGTGCCTGACAACACTATATCACACCCCGTGGACGAGATCCTTCCCCGTGACGGCCTCCTGCTGATGGATGGAGACCAGGGCCAACGGGACGCTACCGTCCTGACCAGGTTAAAAGACGTCCATCCCAAGGATGATGATTCCACTGAGCTCAAAGCACCGCATAGTAAAAACAACGGATCTGTTGCGGTGTCAGCCGACCCTGTTAACGGTTCTGACGGTGATTTGCAACAGACTACAAGCAAGTTTGAGGAACCACCAGTGAGCAGATGCTCGGTTGGAGATGGCGGTGGTGATGATGGTGAGATGGATATCGGTGTGGATTTAAGTCTGGATGAAAATGGCGTTTTGGAGTTTGAGCCAACAGCCCAGACTCAAAATGAGGAAAGTGCCTCTCATTGTGAAAACTCCTTAACATCAGAAACTGTCATAGAACTGCATTCACAGCAACCTCTGGAAGAACGTCGTGAGGATGTGTCCTCAGAAACCACATCAGCGGCTACAACACCAGGCAATGGAGCTGGGATTAAGCACGGGTCCAAAAGGGTGACCTTTCCATCAGACGAAGACATCGTCTCGGGTGCGGTTGAGCCAAAGGACCCTTGGAGACACGGTGAGACCTTTACAGTTCTTGCATCACTTTTGAACCCTCAAATATTGAGTTACATCCCAAACTCAGAGCTCATCTCCTGCGGTTTGCATTGTTGCTCCGCTCTAAAAGCTTTGCGTAATTGTGCTCAACCATTCGGTCCCTGCTGAGTAGGGTACTGATATGGCAAAATATCATATCACGAGATTTTATCATCTTGGTTTTACTATTTTGCAAGTTGTCTGAGCAGTGCAGGCAAACTAATTTCCCTATTTTAGGGAAACTATCCCTTTAATTACAAGCGGCAGCATGTTTAGTACTATAAGTCTGCTGTCACTTTAAGACCTGCACGCATCTAATATACCCAAAGGACCCTTGGAGACACGGTGAGACCTTTACAGTTCTTGCATCACTTTTGAACCCTCAAATATTGAGTTACATCCCAAACTCAGAGCTCATCTCCTGCGGTTTGCATTGTTGCTCCGCTCTAAAAGCTTTGCGTAATTGTGCTCAACCATTCGGTCCCTGCTGAGTAGGGTACTGATATGGCAAAATATCATATCACGAGATTTTATCATCTTGGTTTTACTATTTTGCAAGTTGTCTGAGCAGTGCAGGCAAACTAATTTCCCTATTTTAGAAACAAAGCCTTATAAGTTGACAAAATATAAAATACAAAAGAATGGCAGGTATTTAGGCCAAGGTGGGCGAAGATAAAAATCTTTGTTCTTATTTTTTTAACAAAGATAAAATAATGACAAAGACACATAATATACAAATAAAACAGACATTGCTTTATTTTTCAGGTACAGTAGGTGTATTTAGCAGTAGCATTCAAGAAATTAAATGAACAAATATAAAAATAAAACACTATACTTCACTGTATAAATTATACATTGATTCTTATTACAGTAACTGTATTAAAGTACTAATTTCTCTTTGTGTTTTGTTGTTTTATTAACATTAAAGAGATGGTTCACCCAAAAAAGAAATGAATACAGGTTTGGGACAACATGAGAATGAGTAAATAATAAAAATTTTTGGGTGAACTATCCCTTTAATTACAAGCGGCAGCATGATTAGTACTATTAGTCTGCTGTCACTTTAAGCCTGCACGCATCTAATATACAGGCACGCATACGTTTTTCTCTCAACGGTGTACGTTCACTTTAGACATAACCAACTGTGTTTATATGTAAATCTTGTGTGTTTTTGACAGTATTAGTGCAATCAGACACAAAAGATAACTTAGTCCAGTAATCAGGCGCTTTTTTAGTGTGCGCGCTTCAGCTGTTCGCGCTCAGAAAAAGCGCATGTCAGAACCGCACGTGAATGCTTGCTAACTAGCACGCTATTAGGAAAGGCGATTTGAAAAGATTCATAAAAAAACCTTATACTCACTTCTTCTGTAGGTGAAGCTGGATCACGATTCACGAATGATTCGCGCGAATATAGACGCATTTAGGTAGATCGTATTACGAATGTAATCCACTGCGTCTTCAGTGGCTCAGATGTCGGGAGTAAATGACGACTGCTATGTTCATTATTAAATCCAACAACAGAACACCTCAATCGCTTAGGAGTCATTCTTGTCTACATTT